AAAAAAAAAAAAAAAAAAATAGGGAACATAAACGAAAGTACATCATTTAATTCTATAAGTGTACATCATACTGCAAAACAAAACAATGAAAGTAGGAACCTTCTAACACTACGATGAAATTCTAATGAAAAATTCCAACGGAGATATATTTCAATGAAATTCCAACAACAATTCCAATGGATATTCAATGTTATTATTTTCGTTGAAATTTTCCAATTTCAACAAAAATATTCTGTTATTATGAGTTATCTATTAAAAGTTCTATTGTATTTTGACGATTTCAACAGTAGATTTTTCGACGGTGGTGGAAATAAAATCTCTAACAGCAAATTTTGCAACGGTGGTTGAAATAAAATTACCAACGGTAGGTTTTCCAACGGGAGTGAAAATAAAAATTCCAACAGAAATTACATATGCAACGAAAATTCCTATGGTAAAAAACAATTAGAAAAATAGCGTTAGAATTATCAAATTTCATCCAACCAGATAATTTCGTTCCAACATAATATTTTCGTTAGAAATTTCGTTGGAATCATTCCTATGAAACTATGACATTGGAATATCCGTTGGAATATTTTTTGTAGAGTATGGTCAGACAGTCTTTATACATACTTGACAATTGGTATCCTCTCACCTCACCATTAGGTGGATCAAAACTTCAGTCTCAACCTTAAACTTAATGTACGAAGAAAACAAAAATATGTTGACTCATCGTACATTAATGTCTCGTACACCTACTACCTGAAAAATATCTATTGTACTCGCATTTTCATTTAAATTATAATTTGTTTTGTTTCACTAAAAATTTATATTGATTTTAATTTCTAACTCAGGCATATAATAAAAATAACTTAATTAAAAACATGGTATTTAAAAGGAAAACATCGTGTGCACCATAAATGCAAGAAAACAATAAGAGCACATAGCTCAAAACTTTCACTGATAAGGTAGGTTTTTTTCTTTTCATGCTTTTTCCTGTTACATTGCTAGCTTATTTATATACATTCAAAAAACCTACGGCTAAACAACTAATCTCATCTATTTCTCCCACATGCTCCTCGAAGTTAGGGTTGCACAATCTCACATTTACCCCTCAGCTCCAAATAACTGTGTACAAGTCAGCTTCTGCCACATAAGCCATTTCATTCTTGTTCAGCACTCGTTGGTCTCTTTTCCGCGTGTGCATGGTCTTCAATATGCTCCCTCAATCCTATGCATGGTCTCGACTGCAGCTTCAACTTGTTTCTCAAGCATGTATAGGATTGTCCTGTTAAAGCTTTGGTGAAAATGTCTGCGGTCTGCTCGATGGCTGGGACATGTTGGACCGAAATTGTTTTGTTTTGAACTTTATCTATTATAAAATGAAGGTCCAATTCAAGATGCTTGGTCCTAGCATGAAAAACAGGATTGGTAGCCAAACACACCGCACCTCTGTTATCTACCCAAATAGTACTGGGAGAAATATACTTAACCTTCAACTCATTTGAAAGGGACTGTATCCATACAGCCTCACAACATTTTTGAGCCACACTCATATACTCGGCTTCTGTAGAGGATCTGGACACTATTGGTTGCTTCTTGGAACTCCATGAAATCAGGCTCTCTCCAATATAGACACATAGCCCTGATGTGGACCTTCTGTCATCAGGGTCAGAGCCCCATCTGCATCTGAGAAAGCATTGAGGTTGAAGTGAGAGCATTTTTGTATTTTCAGGGCATATGTCTTGGTACTTGCCAAATATCTCAATATTCTTTTCACAGCCTTTCAATGTGTGTTCAGAGGATTTTGCATAAATTGACACACTTTGTTTACACAGAATGAGATGTCTGGTCTTGTGAGGGTTATATAT